CCGTCCCTCCTGGTTGCCGGGGCGCCACAGGTGAGGCCGCGAAGGGTCTGCTGGCCGCCGCGCTCGCGGGGGGGCTGCGTCCCGCAACCTCCGTGTCGTGAAACGGGGCGTTTGTGGGGGGCTGGTTCTGACAGCGTACGCCGGCGGGCACAGAGACGTGTTCTCTCGGGTAGTCGTTTATGTCAGGTTATTTTTATTAGAAAGTGGTTTCAAATTCAAGACAGAAAAGCTGGTAAAACGCCACTTCAGAACGCACTGGACTAAAGCGAATTCTGTTGATTTCATCAACAGACCAGAATAAGTGGGGTTTTTCTCTCAAAGAAAGGTGCCATAGAGGTAATTCTGCTACAGCCTTTGCAGCATAAACCGACACGCCAGTTCTGTCCAAAATCGTAACTTGTGCTACAGAAACAAATACGTTCTATTGGAAGCGGTTTGTGTTTTGGAGAACCCAGTGGCTGGAGCACCAACAGAAAGGAAGAAGATTGAAAAGCTTTATTACATTTTCTGTGAACAGCACCTGATGCTGTTAATCAGTAGCCTCCAAAGGCTGTAAAATACAGCATTTGAAGGCTTAATTTTTTTTTCAATACATATGAAATACATTTTGCTATAAAACTATCACTTTCAGTATGAAGAAAAGTGAAATATGAATCTTCATTGTAGAGATATTACAGGGCTGTGCTTCATCAGCTCCTGTGCAATCTCTATCAAAACTGACTAAGGCTTTGCTGTAACAAATGAAGCTCCCACCTAACTCAGTTACTTAGAAAAATTAGACAAGGGAAATGTGAACAGTGATGTTTAGAGATATAATAAGGGCATCAGCAATTTACATCTTTATGATTTAGAATTAACTGTTTGACAGGAGGAGAAGAAAACATGTGTGATGTGCTTTCAGAATTATCACCTCGAGGGATTTGATCTTTTGTCACTTTCTTCTGAAACAGGTACAAGGGACAGGACTAAATGGGTACTTCTGACAACTTATATGGCAGTTACTGTGTATCTGGTGCATACAGGCATTGGTGTTTATTGATGAAATCCGGGCATGCAACTCTGGAGTGTGAGCTGTATTTGAGGAAGTTTAGATAGTGGTTTGGATTTAGTTACCTTTGGAAAGCTTTCTTATTGGAGACATATGGTGTAGTTGCTTGGAAATGATTTTGTACTGCATACAAAGATCAAAGGTTTTGCACTTTCACGAGCTGAAATGAAAGAGCAGCAGCACAATAAACTGTGGGGGCTACATATCCAGTTTTGATAGCCATAACCCTGCCTGTGACATCTGAACTTTTAAAAAGGGCTGCTCAGGCTAGTCATTGGACATTGGAGTTGTTAACTAGCTGTGATCTAAAAGCAACAGGAAGGAATTCTTGACAGGGAAAGAACAGCTGTATCTTCCGTCCCTTAGTGAGTTAAAAGACTTTCAGTTACCAAGATGCAGAGAAAACTGCGAATATATTACGCACCTCACAACAGCAGACAACAGGAAACAACAGAAGAGGCTGTATCTCTGGATTCTGTTAAACACTAGTAGATGCATAATATATTGATTTCCAGCTTAAATTATACCAATAATTTAGAGAACTAAACCAGTAACTGATATTACTCTGTTCCTGATATGCAGTGTGAGTATCTCATATACCTAAATAGCAGCAAACCCTAGAGAATAAGCAGTAATTATGCTCAGAAAAATAAACACAATGTTCAGAGGAAGACAAAAAACCCCACTAAGCCAAAGCACTTCAGCAGAAAATGAGGTTGTTCAAGACTGAATTTATCAGAAGGTTTCTTTATACCACTCTTCCCTGTTTTCATAAGGCACTTAAATGTTTTTGTACTTCTGGGGGAGTGGTGGGGCTGGGGAAGCAACAGAAGTTCTGCAAGCTGCCTTTTTATTCAGTGCATCTGAAAAGCAGGAGTGGGCATCTTCCAACTTACTAAAGAAACAGTAAACAAAGAAGTAAATTCTAGTCCTATCAGTATGTTTTGGTGCTACAAAATTGAGGAATTAAACCCAATTACATGTAGATGTATTTTAAATACTGTCACTACACAAGGTGGAGTGTAACAGTAGGAAGTAGCTTTATTTGCAATAAATTTCTATCCCTGTAGGGCAGTAATCTTGGAACCTGAACCACTGGCTTCCCTATTGTGCTATTTTTAATGGTTTTCCTGGAAAGCTGTCTTGCTCTGAATGGCAAAAATGGCACTATACGTGGTTTTCTTCTTTTTGTCACTATTAGCTTGGTAGAAAACAACTCAGTTGTATACTATCCCATTATCTGTTTAGAGCAGAACCAGTGGTAGGGACAATCTCAAGTGTCTCTGGGATCCAGGAAAGTGCTTCGGCTATGTCAGTTGTCTGCTATGAGAAACTTAATTAGTTTCAGCTTGAGACCTTCATGGATTTGCTGCAAGCATCATTCTCCCATTTGAGCCTTAGGAGCAGACAGCAGGTTGGGGCCCTATTTCCTGGTCTGATGCTCGCAGAATAAGGTCCCAGGCCCTCCTTTTACGTGGCACCCATAGTAATCATCTGTGAACAGTGGTGCAAGCCCAACTCTTCTTTGGTGTATGATAGAGTGTCTCCCAGTCAGCTGGGTACTTTAAGCTAGGTCCAGAAGCTGCTCAGTCAGCAGTGCCTGCTGCATACTTGGCATTTAGTGCACAGCTGTCTCGGTGTCACAGTCTGTAGCTAAATGATTTGAAAAGAGAGCTCTATGTAAAAGACAGCAAGATGTGTCAATTAAATTGGATACATGGAACAGCAATGTTATTTCCAGTCCTGAAGTAACAGAAAAGTGATGGGAGTGTGAGTGTCTTTGGGAAGTGAGAGATAAATATGAGGGATGTCTATTCCACACAAATACGCGCACTAGAACGCACACATTTTCTGAAATCCCATTTCCTTCTGTTGCGTTTCAGTAATAAAGACCATGTGACTTGTAAATGCCTGAAGTCCTGTTGGACATCATGGACCATTTCAATGAGATGTGTAGTTTAGCTGAACTTTTCCCCATCCTGTATGGAACAACTATCAGAAATCTGAACTAGTGATCATCAGAGAGACAAAGCTGCTACACGGATATTGTTAGCAGAAAGCTGTTCTCTGAAATGGTGAATTATCTCGAGTAAGCTAAAAACTAAGAGATTCTGAGCCTTTGATGTAATTTATTTTCCCCTTCTGGGGACAACCTTTCTCCCTTCTAGGCTGTTGTAAAAGAAACATTCTCTTATGAATAAATATGACAAATAGAAAAATAAAAATATAGAAACAAACTCTGTAAACGCAAGCCCTGAGGTATTTCAAGCACACAGTGTAATTTCTATACCTGACATGCAATCTAAAGATGCCAGTAAGAAAATTTACTTTATGGCTCTGTAAAAATGTCCCATTTTTCTTTCCTGCCTTATACCCGCAAGAAAGGGTGAGAGGCTGAGGTAAGAGCCCCATGGAAGCTGTGATAGTCACAGAAGCAGAAACAGAGGATAGATATTAAAGTGCTGTGTGTCTTTCCCTGACCATTTTCACTCTTCAGTTGGCTTCCACAGGCCAGTTAGGTTCTACAGAGTATCTGACAAAGTGGCTGCTTTTCTGGATATAGGCTCCACTCCTGCACCAGCATATATACCATATAGAGTCTTGCAGGATAAAGGGACTTCTGAATAAAGATTTTAGTGGCTCCTCTTTTTTTTTTTTTTTTTTTCTTTTTTTTTTTTTGTGTGTGTGTCTGTGTCAGGCTAGCTTGGGAAGCTCAAGCACACTTTGCACTACAATTGCTCTCAAATGACTGTGTTATCTTGCCAGCTTCCCACCTCTTTCCCCCTCTTTCTTTAGCCTGGATGTCCTTGGACATGTTTCCTCCCCCAGAGCTTTCTGCATTTGCATGAAGGGTCCAGTCCTAAAAAAAAAAATAAATCCAGTCTCTGCATGACTGTGAAGTCAGTGGGCCTACTCACATGAATTAGTTTGCTGGAGCAGGCCCTTAGGCTTTTTTGTTTGTTTTATAAAGTCCAATTTTATGAATTCTATCCTGTTTGGGCTTTGGAAAGAACTGTTATGGAAGGGATCATAGGTCTTACTTTTAAAAATGGCATTTGTTTCTCTGCTAATTCTTGGCAAACAGAGGCTTAGTATGAAAGGGTTTCGAGCACTGTATACCTGTGGGTGTGTGTGCACTCTTGCATAGGGAGACTGTGGAAGAATATGCGTGCAAACATGCACACGCCACATACTCCATTGCACATACTTACCTAAACAAGGTACTGCATATACAGGTACCTGCTCATGTGCATATATATTTGTAAAGAGAGATATGCATGCGCTTACACAATGTCTATAGGTGTGTAAACTCTTAATTGCACATATACAAATATTAAAAATCAAATTAGTCTTAGATGCACCTTTGCTTTTTTCATTAAAAAGGACATTTTAAAAACCTTTTTGTTGACTTCGGTTTTACTGTAACTAGTACAATTCACCTGCTCACCTAATGGGATATTTTCCTCTCAGTATGTTAAAACACTAATTAAAATGCATTACAATTATTAAAGTGGGTAGAAGAGCACTTCTTGTAAAGCTTAGTCTGGAACTCCTGGGACATAGTTGTGCAGTGAACGTTTTAGATCATGTCTCTTGTGTTACGGATCGCACAGCACAGAACCATGCTGAATATCATGCCAAAGATCTAGAAGAGAAGGGATGCAATTTAGGGATCCATTTACAAAACAGTTATAAAATAGTCTGCATATGAGAACAATCTGAAGGTTCTTACAGCAGAGTAGCAAGTGACTGCTTCCATCTACAAACCCCAAGATATCAATTAACATAAAAGATTTCACTGATACTCTGTCCCACCCATGTTGCTTTGCTGTATTTTTGAGTATACCTTCATCTTTTACACAAATCACAGGATTGTTTAATCCCCTTTACCTGGTTTCTATTACATACATAAACCCTTCACCTCCTTTTAAGTGTCCACGTAAGTTCATGAATCTTCTGCTCTTCAGAGCAGCCAGAGGTGTATTTCTTTACTGATATTCTGGCTCCTCATGTTGTTTCAGACTGCTTCTGGTTTCTGAGTCTGAAGGAGGCAGCAGCACATGCCTGCCGGAAAATGCTTTCTGTTGAAGCCCATGTTTGACAGTGACCTCCCACTCCTGCCATATCCCTGCTGCCGGGTGACATCTATGGGTGACAGTGCTGTCACGGGGAGCGAACCTGGGAACGCAACAGTGCACACCTGGGGGGAAGAGGGACTGTGCGGACAGTTATCGGCGCTTTGATGATACAGTGCGATGAAACAGCTACCTGTAACTAGGTGCTGCCTGTTAGGGAAGGAAATGCTGTTCTGAAAACTATGCAGTTTAAAGCCTGTTCCTTTAACAAAATACATACCGATCACTGGATATGTGACCTAGAAAATCTATTTATAAATTATTCTTCACATTGTCAACGCTACAGTCAGCGTTTTCCTGGAAAGCCATTTCTATAGAAAGGGTAGGCACTCTATTCCTTATGAAATCTAAGGAATGGATCCCGAAAGGGCCTAAAGCATGTCTGCACTTGTTTTGGAATAATGAAATGCTGCTATGGCCTTTTGCTTTTCACTTTGGTTCACATGCACTCTTCTTTCCTACTATTACAACAAAGTAAGATTACCAATTAGATACTTCGGACCCTGTCTAAGGACACAAAATGAACTGGTAAGATGAAGTCATGCAAGCCTGCTTGTGTCAATGTAGTTAGTTCCCAGAGGGAGGACACACTGAAAGCAGTAAGCACAGCTGCACCTTTGAGGAATCTCACCAGTTGCTGCAAAACACCTTCCACAAAGCTTTGAGTAAGAGACAGGGTCCTGGGCTAAAATATAGATTTGAGAGTGAGAACATGGATTTACTCACTGTGATGCCAGCAATTGCAATTCCAACAATTCCAACTAAACGCAGATTAGCATCAATTACATTCTCGATTTCAACCAGGCAGTTCTATTAAAAAAAAAAAAAATTTTTACTCCTAGAAAAATATACTTCAACCAACTCTGTCAGCTGTTCTCAACAGATAAACAACAAATAAACATGAAAAATATTATTGCAGTCACTGTCCTGATTCTTGCATCTATGCCTTGTGTTTTGTTGGATGATTTTCACAGCATATTCCCTTTTCTAGTGACACGTCTGTATCCCTTGCCTGTACAGGCTGACACATACAAGTTATTTTCTTACAATCAGTTTTCCCTAAATTTAAAACCCTTTATATCATAGGCCATGCTAAATCAGTAACTTTGGCCCTTCAGATTGACATTGTAGTCAAAAGCAGATTCACATAAGACAGAAATAACAGTATCCTTAATACAAAGTTTCTAGTCAGGACTCTCCATGCATGATTAAGGCAGGTACTTGCCAAAATTCAGCTTTCATGGGGCTTTTCATCTAGGATTCCTATTTTGCTATGTCCTTCCCACTTTTCAGACGATGTAATATTGTCTCAGTTACCTGCTGCAATTGAGAGACACAGTTACCATGGGATACTACAGGAAGGCGTCAGAAATGAGGGCTAGGCATGTTCAATATGACCTCCAATTTATTTCTGCCTCCACTCTGCTCCATTTCATATGGAATTTTGTGCTAGAATCTGTAAGGTAAAAAGGAAGCTCTTCCTTTCTTACTAAACAATTGACATGAAATAGTGATTAGAACAACCAGAACAGAGGAAACTTGCCTTTGGCATTTGGATATTCTCTGGACAGGGTAATCCCATTTGTTGTTCCATATTATCTTTACCACAGCATTGAAACTAAATGAGAGAGAGAGAGATGACGAATCAAAGAAGGGAAACCACAGACCTGTTTCATACTGAAAGTGAGTTACTATTTTCATACTGAAAGTGAGATAATAAATAACTTAAAAAAAAGAAACAATAGAGATCAAGTCATAAATTGATTCCCTATATTAACTGCTACCTCTTGTAGAGTTCCAACTGTGTGGGCCAAAATTCTCAAAAATCAGTTTCAGTTGTCTGAAGCCATAGCACACAGACAAATTTGTATTAACAGCAACATCTAGAAGGGCTTTTTACACAGTATCTCATAACAAAGTGAACAAGTGGATTTTGGAAAAGTAGATCCCAGGCTCATGAGGAAAAAGGAGTTGTTAAAGGGAGAAAGCAGAAAGTTCAAATAGTGCACACACAGTTACGGGCAACACACAAAAGCTACAACAGAGAATGCCAGAATCTTTATTTCTGAAAAAAACATAGTGCTGGCTTTGGAGACAGTAATAAATCAAGAGTGTTTAAGAGGGTTTGTTTTTCCTGTTTGTCTCCCACAGAATGCTTGGAATTCCTCCTTGGGTCAGAAATAACAGCTATGGGAGAAGGACAAAAGGGCCTGAGGTTGTGAAATATTTGTTCTAAAGAATGTGGGAATGCTGTAGGGAGCAACAAAGCTTGGGCTTGATCTCTGTGGGAGGCAGTGTAGATACAGGATGGACACAAATAGGCCTCAGGAAGTCACAGGTTCTAGTTGTGGTTCACCCACTTTTTGGGTGGCCTGAACTGAGTCACACATGTGCTTTTGGTTCAGCCAGTGACCAGGATAATGGTTGGTCCTGAGACACAGATGACAGTTTTTTCTCTGACAGATGCAGAGAGGTTCAGACCTTTCTACCTCTCTCTGCATTTGTATTTATTAATGGATTTTAATATCCAAAAGGGCCATAATAGTCGTATCTTCTGCACAGCAAAGACCAGAAGCATCAGCTGACATTTAAAAGCCTGGCCATTTTCACTTTCAAAGGTGGGAATCCCTTGGGATCTGAAAACCAGAATTCTGACAGAGCCATCAGGAAACCGGGTTGTGAGCCTCTGGCTTTACTTTAACACTCAGTTCTATTCTTGCATACCTCAGTGGGAGACATTCTGAATTTTAAAAGTAATGTGACAGTGGAGTAGTAGTGCAAGGTATTAAAGTTCAGGAGGACTACTCACAGCTAAGTGGTAGTGATAGATAGTCCTGTTGACCTTCCCCCCCGGGTTTTTCATATAGTCATCATAAATGTCTTCATAGATTTTCTGGGATTCCTGTATTGCCTGCAGAAATGAGACTTTCCAAATGAGTGGCAAATAAGTCTTACCCTCAATCCAGTGCAGACTTGCAGCTTGTGTCATCAGCCTCCAGAACAGAAAATTATACCTGGTAAACCAAGGTATCATGGTTGGAAAGAAGGAGGTTTTGTGGCCTGATGACATTCAGAGGGACTCTGCATGGGTCAGAATGTATATATGCTCTATTCTGTGTTTTGGGTCAAAACTCTTAGTTGGAGTTCAGTGCTTGAATTTGTTTGCTCCTTTACCAAGCAGTATCCTCTTACCACATAGTTCTACCTGATGTTCCTTGTGGACATAAGATTGAACCACACCTACAGATTTTCTTAAATAGAGGGGGGAAAAAACTCCATCCCATTCTGGACTTGTGATGACACAAGCTCTCACTGACTCCAGATAAGGACGTCAGAGAGTCTTCCTGGGAAAAAAATCTTCTGGAAAGTTTTCCTATGCAAGAGCCAGACTGTAGGTCAGTCAGCAGCATTGAAATCCATAACTGTCTTATTATTACATTAGAAGTTGCTTGCTACTTACCACTTTCTTGCCTATAAAGGCAAATACTCCAGCAGTGACCTCAGCCGCAAATATCACCAACAAGCAAGCAAAGAACTGCAGAGGAAGAAGAGAATACTGTATTAATATACCTTGCACAATTCTGCTTTATGTGGACTGCCAGTCAGTCCCTCGTTCTTGCCCAAGGCTTAACAGCCCATACAGTAACTGAAAGAAAGCTGGTAAGCAGGGTCCATAACAAGGGTGTCAAGTCAGATTTCTTGTAATAGGGAAACAATGGTGGAAATGACAAAGATGTGGCTCAGATGGTAGTTCAGAAAAGACAGAAGGTAATTCCAGGCATATCACATGAGGCAAGCAATGGAACTTCTTCATGTATGTAAACTCTGCAGTAGCGTGGTGGCTAGATATGCTAGATTAGCCAGTAAATGGACATAAGACATTTCAGGTCTTGGACTGTAAAGATCTTTCCGCTAATGACACAAAGCATATGCTTTTGAACAATTTTCCTGTGCAGCCCAGGCCCTTGAAACCTTTTACTTACTGCTCCAAGTAAGCACTGAGACTCCCGCGCTGCTCCACAGCACCCAAAAAATCCAACTGTGGTCATGAGAGCCCCTGCTCCCACCAGTACATAGAGTCCTATGAAAAATCAGAATCAGACAAGAATTTTAAGAAAGTTTCACTTCTCAAAGTCTGCTACCTATTTTGTCAAAACCACACATTTGTAACAATGGTCTCTGGCTCTCACAAAGAACACCTGTTACACAGAAAAGTTTCTCTTGACACAAAAGGAGAGCAATGATCTCTTCAGAATTCTTAAAGAATCTCAGGATACAAATGAGAAGACTTCCACCTCCCTTGTTTCACGTCCCAAGGGTAGCTCAGTCCAGGAAGAAAATACACCATACCATCCAGAACCACCTTACAACTCTTCAGTGAGGAACGTAAGGCAAAAAAAATCCAACATTGCTAGAGGGCTTATTTCTGTGAAACTTGGGACTGGAAATGTGCTGTACTGCTGTGTAGGGGTGGGTCTTAAAAAAGCTACCTGGCAGCTATGCTCTGTCAGTTGCCTGGCAGTCCATAAAAAAAGGACATTTGAACATCTTCAGGAAAGGTATAGGCACTACGGTGTCACATTCCTCTGAAATCAGTACTTTGGCTGGGGATAAAGCTGACTGCTATTGGAAGGAAGAGGAGGATTGGGGGAACTCCTTGAAAGCTGTTGGAGGAAGCTGGTGAGAACTGTCAATGTTACGTTAATGGTTGGACTAGATGAGCTTCAAGGTCTTTTCCAACCTAGATGATTCTGTGAAGTGAAACAATGAATTTACACTCTGGCTAAATAATGAGTGGGAAGAACAGCTTGTGGGGGTGGGTTCTAAGCTCAGCAATAGTTCTGAGCTTGGTCACTGCAGAGAATGGAAGCTTCTCTACCGTTCAGTGATTTGGAGCATGGCATCTTCCTTTTATCATAAGTAGCTGCTTTACTGCCTGCTGGGCAGGCCTATTCCAGTGTCATTACTTTACATTTTTTCCTCCAACATACTGATGTGTCAGAATATGAGATATCGTCAGCTTTTAAAGGCTAATACCATCAGTACATTATGATCAGGAGACATGGAGAAGAGTTGCCTGAAAATGGATAGAATCCATCCATCCATCCATCCATCCATCCATCCATCCATCCATCCATCCATCCATCCATCCATCCATCCATCCATCCCTTCATGGGCAGTGTCAGTTCCCATCAGACAACAACAACTGTCTTTGTGCCTTGTCTCTGGGTACCATGTCAGTCAAAGTACAACAGGCTCAGTGCAGTGCCTTGTATTTCCAGTCTTTGTCTTGTGAGGGCAACGTGGAGGACGTGGCAGAAATCTGCCACGCCAATCCACTGCTAGACAAAACAGCTTCAATTCCCTCATGCCGTTGTGAGGGGACAGTGGAGCTACAGGCTGTGCGCACTAGAGGGCACAGTGAGCCTTGCTGCCAGCTTCGTCTGTGCAAACTTTTAACGAGAACTTCTCGCATTCTCAGTTAGCAATTTTAATATTTTAAAATCTGACCGTATCTTTAGGGTTAACAGAACTGCTGGCATTTACTGTTAGCAGGCCTTGTGTAACCTAGACTAGAAAGCCCTACAAATGAAAGTGCAATGATTCCTAGGAAAGTGAAAAAACAATCAGTATGCAGAGCATCTAGCTACCCTGCCACACAGATGCAGCCTGCTTGGAGAAGGCAGATTCCTGCCTGCTGTCCAGTCATCTGGCACATCATTGTATATCAGCCAGATATCTATAGCAGCTACTGTGATCCTTTTCCTCTCCTCCATTCTTCTTGCCCTGGTACCTTTCTTGTGCCAAGGATTGCTGTCATGGAGCACATTCTGCTAAATAGCAATAAAGCAATTATAATTAATATGGCTTTGCCACGTCTGATGCCAGATATGTGGGATTTGTTGCTGACTGTGCTGGTATTTCATATTCTGTATTTTCTAGATTTTTAACATTCAACATCTTGTGACTTACTAGGACTGTGCCTTCTTCAAGCTGATACTTACACACATATTCACAACACAGGGGCTTTTACTGAGGTAAGGATATACAAATATATATAATGGCTCAGGAGAGAAAGGTCAGCCCCTCATGGAAGGTGAATTGGAAGAGACAAAAAAACTCAGGTGCAGAACCTGCTGTTCAACTGCCAAACGCCAAAACTGCCATTTCCTGAGATCTCCATGGTAACAAATGGAGTGTAACTACAAAGATGTTTCCTGGGCCCTTTTCTGCACATCACTCCCTACCCAGTCCCTGTAATTATCAGACAATTTAGCAGAGAGATTTTGATTAAGAGGACTGGAAAGAAGTCTTCCTATTTCTTTTTGTTGCTTCCAGCTAGCAAAGACCAAAGCTCTCTGAGGCTCTTTGAGGGGTGAGACTACTTTCAAGTGTTTGGATTTGCTTTTGTCTGAGAAACAGACTTGACATTTCGGTTGCATGACTCACAGCTAAACCACTACCTCAGTCAGAACTTCCCTTTTAAGGCGTGTTACAGGAAGAACTCACACCACTCACTAAACAGAGCGGAGCTTGCTGTGTGTCTGGCCCCACAGCTGAGCCAGCCAAGGGCTTAAAACCACCTTCTTCCATCTTCTCTTCAGGAGGGTTCATTCCAGACTTTGTCCTTTCTCAGCTTGGGACTAGTAGTTGTCGATACTCAGAGAGCTATTTCTAGATGAAAAATGATGATGACACTTAAAAAAAAACTCTACAAAACTGAAGATGTTTTACCTTGTCTACTATATATACACACATGTAATCTTTCACACAGGAATGAGACACGTGAAGAATAGATTAAAAAAACCTCAAAGGGACCAGGTTACTTCTCAGCTTGCACAGTGAGGTGTCCTAGCACCCAGATCCAGGTGTGCTCAAACTGAAAGATGATTTCCAGGAAAGATTTCAAAGCAATAGATTTAGAAACATCCTAGATGGTGTAAGTATGTAAGACAGGGGGGTAGTATTTCTTTTCCTAGTGGGCTATACGCAGCAATGTAGGCATGATCACCTCAATTTTTTAACAGGAATAGACCTAAATTGAAAAGTGAGACCTCTAGAAAGGAAAGAAAAAGAGGAGGTTGACAGTGTATGGCACCCCTTAGAATCACAGCCTTACCTAGGGACATCGTGCACTGATAGTCATCAAGTTAGCCTAGTTAAGATCAGCAAAGCAGACAAATCCAGAAATTTAGTAGTATTAATGTCATACATTGCTATGCAATAGTATCGTGTCAGAAGTAACTAAGTTTCAATAAAGCCCGTTCCTTTCAAAAAAGCAGGATGGAAAGCAAAGCCTTAATCAGCTTCTATTCATAAGCGCTTCCATTGTAAAATACAAAGCCTTGGCAAGGCCTCCAATTTGGCATCTTCAGCGCAGCAGAGAAACACAAAAACCACTTAGTTTACAGTCACAAAATGGAACACTTTTGGTAGTTAGAAACTGACACAAAAAAGTTCACCACAAACCTCAGCGTGGCAAAAAGAAGCATGCAAGTCAGGTCAAGGTAGAGCACTTGTTTTGGCAAGTGAAAAATTTTGAGAAAACTGTCTAGCTGTGGCTTTTTGTGCAGCACAAGTGAAAAAGTACAAGGTAGAAAGGAAGTAAATGGTTGTGGTCTGGGTGAAATTTTTCCTCGTACCTTTTCTTGCTTCTTTTCATTTCCTGATTCCTAATTTTGTTGCTTTGTTCTGTGTCTGCTAATGAAGAGGAGAGTTTGACAGCTAAGTAGTCTCTTGAGTTTGTTGGCAGCACATGGCCCACACAGGAGCAGACAGTGGATGAAGAGAGATTACTGAGAACAGGCACACTGCTATGGCATTAAGGACGGCAAACGCTGGACTTAATGGCAGAAACCTGCCATCTACGTGACTGCCCACAATTCAGGAATATTTATTGCACCTGCATGCAGGATCCACAAAGTAAGTAACTCTCAGTCCCAGAATGCAAAGGGATTGAAAATTAATTCCAAGAAAATTAAAAGCCATGTGCAAAACACAACAGAAAAAATTGGTTGATCTGAGCAGATACAGCCAGGACACCAATGACTGTGAGGTGTACTGGAGTAAATACGGGCTTTTATGTAAACACGTGAGAATGAAAGAAGTGTCATAGGATTGGGGTGGTTTTTTTGGACAGAGCCTATTCTCTTGACCTTTTTTGTGGGGAAATATTGAGGTTTTGTGGTGGTTGGTTGCCCTTTTTTTTTTTTTCTTTAGCTGTGCTAACACACACAAACACAGAGATTTTTATAAGCTGTGAAGAGAAACTACTTCTACTTTTAGCAGTAACTCAAGTGAGGGAACACCTAAGAGCAAATTGATTTCTTTTCTGGCTAAAAAATAGAGAGTGTAAGGGTGGGAAGCCCATACTTCAGCCATTGTTGCATTTTGCAAAGAACAAATTTGGAAAGCAGTAAAGCAGCACCTTTTCTGTATACTTGATTTTTTGATTCATCCCACAGGGAAAATCATTATTTCTTGAAAGGAAAATGTCAAATGGGGGTATTCTGCGTGAGAATTCCAACAGGAGGGATTCCCATTTTGTACCAGACTCTGCTTTGTAATTACAAGGGGAATTTAAAAGTTACCTGACAATCTCAGAGCAACCTATGGCTCCCAGTAATGAAGAATGGCAAATAAAAAAACCCCCAAACCTCAGTAGGGGTCTCTGGATTGGCATCTATGTTCATGGCACAGAGTTCTTCCATAACATACTGTTTCCTCTGCGTATGAGTACATACACCCTACTAGAGCTGTGCTTGGAGACAGCAGACCTGCAAGTGTGAAGAAGCACCTCAGGAAGGGTAAAGGGTCTTCTGTGTGTCATTTCTGGATAGGCAAAACTGTTGGGATTAGCAGTGAATACAGAATTTCATCATTTTAGACTAGGCAAAAGAGAAGGATGGAATTTTGTATCTGATGACAGAAATATGTCTTTATGTGTATCAAGAGTGAGGGAGGGATCAGCCCCATTTTTAGAAAAATGAGTGAAATCTGCAAGATATGTGTTCTTTGTTCCTCAGAGCAATTAAAGACCGCTCTCAAGGTAACATGCAAATCTATGTATAACTAATCTGC